ACACTCAGTCAGCCCAGATTATACTAGAAAGCTACCAAATGACGTAACCAATATGATCAATATTCGGCACATTCATTTTATTCCTAGTGGTTAGGAAACATTTTGTTGTGTTTCCGAGTGAATCGTCGTTATCTGACTTTGGTTGACTGGGACCCGACACTGTTTTACAGTGAGGATACCAAAAACACTTTACATTTTACTGTACTTGAGCATTTTTCAGTTTTATAATTATCTAGTGAGAGCTCTTGATAAAAACCAAAGGATTAGTGATTTTCAAGTAAAAAAGCGCTAATTATTTTGCTCATAAGAAGATCCCTCTCTCTGTAATCATAAAACAAAATCCGGAAATAACTTTCCCCTGTTCGTGGTTTGAGTGTCTTCACTGTAATACGTCGATGTGATTAAAATAGACTGCAAATTTTGACAAAGATAGTTAACACGATAAGCAAGAGTAAACTTTATATGGACATGTTCTCCTAACAAAAAGGAAACACCATTGTCAAGAGATTGTACCGTGACTAACGATCTGCCACAATTTAGAACACCCTTTTTTAACTTTAAAAATTTAAACTAAATTAAAGATGATTTCCATTCCGCACTGCGCAGTCTCAACACCCAAATGTTTGTGAGTCTCACTCGATAGAATGCGAACCAATGAGACATTTTAAATTCTTTTCCCAACAGTTTCTTTGATATTTGCAGCTATAAATACCGCAATCCGATACTCGCGGGTATCGCTACGCTACCCGCTACCCGCGAGTATGTTGTAATGGTACTTTCAACTAAGAACTCAATGAAATGTAGGTATGTATGTAAATTCGTTTCATCAAGTGATATCAGAAAAAACGAAGCATATAGCTTCACATCCAAAATGGAGGTTGACATGAAACGTTGAATACAATTCATGTAACTAGTTGCGAATTGTTACATTTTGTGACGTTTTACATGAGCCAAAACAAAAAACGAGAACAAACTCTCGAGAGTGCGCAGTATGGACTGTTTTAAGCGGATATTTTTATAGTACGTCACAGCGTTCATAAACTTATCCTCCCTTCCCTCCCCCGCACACACAACTGTACAAATAAACAAATGTAAAAACGGTCGATCAACGACATCATCTGGACCTCATGTACAGTAAAGTAAATTCGTTCAACTTTCGTTTAGACGTTTAATATTGTAGGTCTTCAATTAATGTTACTTCTTATCCTTCATTTGACGAAGACAAAGTGAGATCCAGGCATTTCCAAGCCGTTAACTGATTTCCTGCTTTAGTTCAAAATCTATTTCCTGAAGAATGATTCATTGCAAATAAGTCAGGAAAACTCCAAATATGAATATGAAGATACAGGAAATTTAAAGAATTTGAATATATCATCACTATGAAAACTCAATTTTCACTCAAACAGAAATTTAAATACTCTGTAAAACATCTTTGAAAAGGTGTGGTTACCATGGAGTCTTCGAGTCACATTTTGGAAAAGTCACAAAAATTGATGACTGTAGCTTGAAAGCTGTTTTAAGTAAGGAAAGATTGAAATCGCCGGGGGCACTTGTTCCCTCCCTCCGGGCTAAATAATGTTAAAGTAAGTACCTAAAGGTCTCGTGGAACAATAAATTGTGACTTCAGCAATGCAATCTGCAAACGCCTAATGAAACTGATATTCTTTTAGTAAGTTGGTCCGATCAATGTAGGAAGCACACCGTAGTCAAGAAATTAAACTATGGCTAACGATCTGCCATGATTTAGAACACCCTTTTACACGAAATAAAAAACCAAAATGAAGTAAGTTAAGGTGGAAATATGTCGAGGATGTCACTGCATATATACTTCAACTACACACACACACACACACACACACACACACACACACACACAACTGTAAAAATGATGTAAAAAAAATCGATCGACGACTTCGTGTACAGTAAATTGGAGCGCGTTCGATCAACTTTTGTTGACGCTTTCAACATTGAATGTCTTCAACGTGAATTCCTTTCCTTGATCAATTTGAGGAAACTCGAAGATCGACGCAATTCCAGGCCGCTTTCATTGTCTGCTTTGTCTCAAAATGGCACACGATACATGGACTGAAAGGATAGCAGAGCTCCATCATTTTCAAGTGTCAGGTCCCTGTGGTAATTAAGAACACCAAACGAACTGTTAGCTCTGAAAAAACCTTCATACGTGACCTTCTGAACAAACTGCCAATATTTTCCATGATCGTTGAGGGCTCTTAAGATCATATTTCCTAAATATTGAGTTTGTCTTTGCTTTGTAAGTGCCGTCGTCGTTTTTCTTGCTTGCATTATACTAGCGTACATTCTTTTATAAAAGAATATATTTTTATAAGGATATTAAGGCTGAAATTTGACAATTTTGTGGGTGGAAAATTTGTAAATACAATGCAATTCTGTGTTTTTAACTAAATCTAAAAGTTTTCCTTTCTCTAAACGGCAAGATAAGCCAAAAATTGAGGAAGTAACAATAATGACACTAAGCGTATGTTCGATTCTAATTACATTTTTGTAAGAAAAGTTATTATGCGTTTCATATCATGCAGACTTTGTAATCCAACAAATATTTTCGCTCGCGCGCGATTGGTTTAAACGCGTCAGGTGACAGCTAAAACTGGGAAATAAACGAGTGATATTCCCCAATTTTCAACACCGCGCGTGTTGCGAAAAATGTTTGAAGGATAATAAACACGATAGCCTCCATTTGGCGCGAAAATATGATCGGATATTTGTCCTTGGACATTATCTGTCCCTCAAAGCTCACAGTTTCTCGGAACAGATAATGTCCGTGGACAAGTATTCGAGCATATTTCCACGCCAAATGGAGGCTATTGGTTATATATTGCCGGCAGTCTGGCTCCAATTTACTTCCATGGCATCTGGACATCAAAGGCTTGTAATTGATACCCCAAAATAAATTTAACCGAAAATGTCATGAGTCATAATCTAATATTATTGGCAAGAATATTTTCAGCCTAAAATCGGCAGAGAAACAAAACTATTCAGCCTGGGCCGGAAAAGCAATATTGTTCTAATTTAGAACTATTTTGATTAGCATGTATATCGTATGAAGCAATGTGCTCGTTACGTCTATACTACAATTTCTGCGGTCGTCGGTCCTTACTTTATCAGCCGTCCATCTTATGCAGTGCAGCTTGGAAAATTCGGGCCGCTCAGGGAACTAATCATAATGCCCCTTTACAGCGTGGACCATTTTTTCCATAGAATTTATTAATTTTAAAGTTGATTTTTTTGAAACGATTATCGGTCCCTTTGTGCGCGTAATTCTTGTTCTAGAAGTACACTCTTTTTTTAATAAAAATAGTGTTTTTTCGTCCGAGGGTGATTATTTTTATTTTTCTGCCGATTTTAGACTGAAATTGTTGTTGTGAATATTCCTAGATTATAGTGTATGTTTTCGATACGGTTTAGTTAAAAACATATAACTGTATTGTATTTACAAAGTTTTAACACACAAAATTATATTCTTTTCAAATTCTCAGCCTCGGGTTTATTCTTGAAATATTCTTAAAATTCGTAAATTTCAGTCTCCATATTCTTATTAAACATATTCTTATGAAAAAATAAAGAATGTGGTCTATGGGCGAATCTCATGGACCTCGTAAACGCACGTTCTGAATCGAAAGGGCCGTGTCTAGTTTCAGTACATGTGAATTTCTTATACATGTAGCGTAGACGTTTTTAAAATTGAGGTCTGTTGCAGTAATTTATGTGGCCACTGAATTAGTGATGAAAAACAAAACTGACAAGAATGTTTCCATTTACCTGAAGTTTGGTTAACACGTATTCATCATAGTAGACACGAGTAAAAGCAAGGTCCAGTTTCGGCCAGGGAAGCTCCACGGCCACTGTAAAGAGAGATTTACTAGTTAACCTTATGAAAGTGGCGCTAAAAGCCACCACATTGCCTATAAATCGAACAAAATTTACTGGATGGAATATTATCAGAGAGGGGAGAGGCATGCGCACCTGCGCGCCAATGTCTCACCAGAAAAAATACTCCAGAAACTATGAAAATCATTGCGTGCTTGCAGACAGCTACTATTTTGTGACAAGGGCCGTTCTCTTTACATCCCCAGGCAGGACTTAAAATGGTGTTCAAATATCCCAACTCCGAACAAACTTCCAGTTTGTCCCGCGCATTGTTTTTATTAAGAGAGGATGAGGGTAACAGATGAAGTTGATCTTTTCTCAAGTTATTTTTAAATATATTTTTCTATATTTTAAATTTATTGGAAAAAAGGGCTTTACACAAGTAATTTAAATTACATAACATGCACCCTACTTTACCAATACATTGCATACTACACTATTACACACTACTTCACTACTAAGTGATTTCTACTCAACAAACCGAAACTAATTACATCTAAAAATTACGTCCCTTTTATTTAGAGAATCGATAGCAACGAGCAAGTGATAAAAAGTGGTTGTCACGTCCTTGTTTTACAATACCATGTCTTATAAATCCATGGTTTACAAATCCATATTTTACAAACCCATGCATGTTTTACAAATCCATGTTTTACAAGATGCCTTGATGATCGAAGTAAACAAGTTTTTTCTTTATTTTGTTGCGAAATTTTCTAAAAGAAATAGAAAACATGTTCTCCGTACTTCTATCGACTAGTTATAGAAACACTCGTGAAAGTTTGTGAAAACTCGAAAAAGCTGTGGAAACACTCGCCTGCAGGCTCGTGTTCCCACAGCTTGTTCGAGTTCTTATAAACTTCCACTCTTGGTTCTATAACTCGATAGAAACACGGTACATGTTTTCTAATTCTAAATAATTTAGTTAATTAACAGTCTCAGCGGGGGAATTAGTTAATAGTCTGCCCCAGATTTCCTATCCGTTTTTCGCACTAGGTATTTTAGGGTGGGTTTTTTCTGGCCCCCCTGAATTTATTCAGGCTACTTTCAAATTTCCAGCCAACTTTATTCAGCCTTCTTTTAATTGTTCCTAAGATGATGCAATCTTGTATCTCGGTAGCGTAAATACCGAGTGCCCGTATCTTTCCTAAGTCGATCAGTCGATCAGCATCTAATATTTATATCGATTACTTATATTAAAGATTTATATCGCAGATTTACGCCGAAGATCTAAGTCGAAGTTGATGAGAAAAGAAAACAACACCTGAAGTCCAAGTACTACGAGTGTCCTTATTTCCAGTTGTAGCAGATCCGACGGTACTTTGGAACCCGTGACAAGTTCCTCTCCCGCAGCAAGCGAGTTGCTGAGTCGAGTCATGCGCACAAGTTTCCAACCACAACGCGTCCCAACGCCCGCATTTCCTGTTTAGAGTTCAGAGCGACAAAACTCGCGTTTTCACTCCACGGTGAATCGAAAATCTTGGGTTCTCTTGATTAAGGAAATAATTTGACTTTTTCCCCCATTTTAGTTACAGCTGATTCTTATTAAATCGTGCGATGTTACTATACTCAATGTAGTCGAATAATAGCTCATATTCATATTTAGAAGGATCAAGGCCATAAATGCTTTTTTAAAGTTAATTTTAGATATGGTATCCGGCCTTCTAGCCGAAAATGTTACCTCGCACGTTGCGTGGATGATATCGAGACGAAAATGCATGTAAAGTACGTGAGTAAACTTCGAATCACAGGATTGGGTATTTTTTAACCCTTCTGGGATTCCAAACCCGTGAGTGATTTTAAAAGAAACTTGTGTGGGATTACCTTAATAATAAGGCCTATCGTATTAGGGATTAACTCTCTTACCTTGCATGCTTTCCTGTTTCTAAATGTTATTATATAGGAGTGGCCAAATATTCTCAGGCCAAACGTTTTAGTTTCGTTCAAACACCACACAAACCTTTTGGAAACCTTTTTTTGTTCGATCCTCATTGAAATACAAAGAACGTTGTTGCATGAGAACATTTTGTATAGATATCAATTTGGTTTTAGGAAAGGGCACTCAACAGAGGAAGCCATTTTTGAGATCACCAACACCCTTAAACAGGCAATGGATCAAAAGCTGATTACCTGTGGTGTTTCGCAGAGTCGACACATTAACAAAAAAATTAACAAAAAAAATAACAGTTATTCACAAATTAAGATATTTTGTTGATCTTCATACATTGAAACAGTTATATTATCCCTTCATTTATCCATACCTATCCTATGCAACCATAACTTGGGGTGGTGCATGTAAAACTAGTTTACGTATAATCTTAACTAAGCACTGAGAATAAGTGTGTGCCCAGCATATTCTTTGCTTATAGCACAGATAATGCTATGCTATATTACAATCTTTTAGGAATTCTCAAATTTGAAAATGTGTACAAATTTAAAGTGGCTCTCTTTACGCCTAAAGTTCTAAATGGTTCAACAAACATTCCAACAATATTTCATAGAACCCTTACTTGAGCCTCTGAGATACACACCCACGATTCCAGATTCGCTTCTAACTTAAATTTTCATTGGTGAAAAGCAATTAATAACTATGGGACCTCTACTTTCGCTTTTGTCTCATCTAAACTTTTGGAAACTATTCCAACAAATTTAAAAAAAAAAACTACCTTACACTTCCTTTTACAACCAATGTAAACTATACCTTCTAAACACTCAGTGCTACTCTTCGTTATAGACTGCTTTTATTCTGCATATAGCTCATCTAAGTTCTTCCATCCTTTTACGCGTTTATTGTTCATATATTTCTTTTTTCCTTTTTTACTTTTTGGATATTCACTCTATACTTTTGTTCAATTTTTTCTGATGTAATTGATATGTCGTGTCAATTGTTTGTACGTGTCAGTGACCAACACGAAAACCTATGCTACTTTGGTCACTGAGCACATTTTATTTTGGTTATTTATTGTTATAGTTCTTTTCTCTTTTTAATCAATGTAATTTCTGTAAACGTCGTTAAAGTTATAATTGTAAATAGTGCAAAACAATGAAAAATCTGAAATCTGAATCTTTCGACCACTCCTGACACCATGTTATAGTTCTCGTGGAACCAGGAGGCGTACGAACGTAGAGAGAATAACACACGCTTTAATCACAGTCAAGAGAAATGAAAAGATGCACGATGAAAAAATTGACAACTCATATAGAGAGAGAGTGTCTGGTAACAAATGGAAACGGCCGCACGGAAACGGAGAGACAGGTTTCTAAGAGATACTATGACAAAAGCCACTATCACGACCATAACTTTGGCAACAACAAATTATTATTCTGAATTAGACAGACATGTTGCTAAAAGCCTGAAATCTAGACATGCAAAAATCACTACTTTTCATCTTCTTGTCGGTGTTTTTTGCATGAAGCATTTAGAGGCTGTCAGCGTAAAAACAGATAGGGTAAATTTTTCAGTCGGTTTGCTTGGCTAATTTCAATCTCCTTTCTGTCCAACGAAGCGACGTTATCAAGTAGACACAAGGAAAATCATGTTTTCTCTCGCAAAGCACAGACACTCACTCGGAGGATTCTGGCGTTTGCCAGTCTCATGCCAATAACCTGGCCTAACTGGGAAGATTGAACGTTTGGCGGGTACACATTTCATTAACTTTCTGATGGACAACGAAATGAGTCGTTCGTTTGGCAAAGGGCCTTCCCACAAAATGTTTTGTTTCCGATAGTCTTCTCTCTCGTAAAAATGAGTCAGACGAGTGGTTAAAAATAAAATAAAAACGGACGAACGAAATTTTGACAACTGAACAAGCAAAAGATTCGAAGCGAGCCTTGATTATATCTTTCTCGTGACTTCCATCTTGCAGAGGAGCCACTAACACTCTAAAGGTTTTGTAAGATGTCTATATGGGGGCTTATTCAGAGTCACTTACTATACCGTATCCTACCTTTTTTGGTACGCTTCGACTGAATGTCAGGCAAGCTTGTTCGAGCCACGGGTCGTATTTTGGCGAGACGCAGTCGACCCAAAATACCCATAGCGAGACCGACCGCAGATATGTCCAGGACTGAACTCTAATAATATTCATACTACTCATGACAAGCATCACAAAGTGTCCTCATTTGTAAAAAAAGTCACCAAAACACACATAAAAATCTCAAATGTGAAGTAATATGAAAATGACACTTTGTGATGCTTGCCATGAGGAGCATGAATCTCATTAGAGTTCAGCGCTGGACGTAAGTGACCGAACGAGCTTAATATGCCGCTGAAGCGTACCAAAAAAGATATGATTAGGTATTTACGAACCCAAATCTGAGAAAAATGAAAACCCTGGTTTCATTTTAGAAAATGAGAAGTTTCAGGACGATTGGCAAACACCGCGCAGTTGATGAGGGCCCGCCAGTTTAGTTTTGGCAGAAAAATTTTTACACGTTACCTCGAAAACAAAAGCTCAATCAATATTTAACTACGAGCTTAAAATTTTTATTTTGATTTCCTTCTCTCAATTTGACCCAAGGAAAAATTACTTTACTTGTGAGTGTCGACATATCGTAGGCATATCTTTTCATTGACTGGTTTTTGCAGAATATGAGGAAAGTAGACGAGGCTTCTGGTTGGCTTATTGCGAATTGGGTGTAGTATTAAGGTGTATTGCTTTCTAGCTGGATTTTTTCTTTAACAACAGCGCGCGCTCTCACCTGCTACTACGTTTTGAGTGATATAATGATAAGTCAGCTAGAACCGAATATGTAGAATAGACGTTTAGGAGAGAGAAACCTTATCGCTATAGAAGTTGATATCAGGAATTTACGAAGTATCAGAGAAAACAAGAAGACTAAGAAGGGTGAAATTTTCAGTCAGACTAGCAGCCGTAAACGTCCTATTTCTCGTCCAAGAGGTCTGTCTCATTTTTTCCTCGCTCACTCGGAGAGCTCGTTGTCTAAGGTTAAAGGAATGTAATGGGGAAATTATAGG